GGGGGGGGGGGCCAAACCTGCCGCTGCCGCGCTGCGCCGCTGCGCTGCTCTGCCGTGCGCCTGCGTGGCCTGCCGGCGGGCCCGCCTTGAAGCCAGCCTTCGCATGCCCTTCCTCTCTCTCACACTCGCATACCGTTCTGGAAGTATCCCATATCATTCCCCCGCCTGCCTGCTTGCCTGCAGCCTGGAGGAGGATGAGGAGCGGGAGCGGGGCATCACCCCCATGTATGTCAAGTACGATGCCCGCCTGTACGGCACACGCAAGCCCGGCCAGAAGGTAGGGGCCCAGGCCTGCTGGCCGGTCAATGGCGGGCGGGGTGCGGCGAGGCGGCGGCAGCGGCCCCTGCGGAAGCGCTGGGGATGCCCTGGGGATGTATGGCGCCTTGCCCTCGTGTGTGTGTGTGTGTGGTATGCAATCCCTGGCCCTACCGCCGACTCCTCGCTCGCGCCGCTGCTGCCCCCGCCTCCCACCCCCTCGCCCGCTCGCCTGCGCCATCCACAACCGCAGGAGCCTCTGTCGCTGCCCTTCCTCAAAAAGTACATCGCCTTTGCCAAGCAGCGCTTTGCGGCGCCGGAGCTGTCGCCTGAAGCCAGCGACGCCATCTCGGGTGCGGCCTGAGGCGGGTGCCGCACTGTCCACGGTCTGGCTGGCTGGCTGGGAGTCGGGGCCGCGCTACGGCAGCGCCGGCGTGACTGATCCTGGCTGTACCACATGTACTGCCCCTGTACTGCAGAGTACTACGCCGACCTGCGCAACAGCCAGGAGGTCAAGTCGCTGCCGGTGACGGTGCGCACCCTGGAGACGGTCATCCGCCTGTCGTGCGCACACGCCAAGGTGGGGGCCCTGCGCAGGAGCAGGAAGGAACCAGGAAGAAGCAGGGGCAGGAAGGAACAAGGAAGAGTGGCTCGCTGCATGGCGAAGTGCATGGTGTGGTGCAAGGCTCTGCCTGCCGTCCGGACCCGGGCCGGCCAGCCGCCGTCGGCGCCAACCGAACCGGCTGCGTGTGCTTGCGTGTGCGTGGGCGCAGGTGCGGCTGAGCGCGGTGGTGGAGAAGAGCGATGTGGAGGAGGTGCAGGTGCTTGTGGACACCATCCTTAAGTCAGACCCCTCGGCCCAGGAGACCCGCCGCGGCGGCGGTGGCGCCCAGCGGCGCGAGGACCGCCGCGCCAAGCGCGGCCGCGACGGCGCCGGCGCCTCCGACAGCGAGGACGGCGATGGCGACGAGGGCCAGGGCGGCAGCGCGGGCAGCTCCGGCGCCAGGCAGCAGCGCGGCGCGGCGGCTGCGGGCGACGGCGTGCAGGCCATGGATGCAGGTGGGGCGTGAGGGGTGCTGCCGCGGGGCTGCGCGTGGGCTGAACGCTGTGCCTCCCTGCCCGCTCTCCTCTGGAACTCCTTGCTGCCCCCTCACCTGCTGCCCCCTCACCTGCTGCCACCGCATCTGCTGCCACCCCACCTGCTGCCACCACCCCTGACGCTCCCGCCCCCACCCGCCCCTCCCCCCTCAGACGCTGGCGAGCCCATCAGCGAGGGCGAGGAGGCGGGCGTGGGCGCGGACGCGCAGGAGGCCATCCGCCGGGCGGTGGACGAGGTGGGGCAGGGCGCCAGTGGCGCCGCCTGCAGCGTGACGGGCGTCAAGGCCGTGCTGGCGGCCGGCGGCGTCATGGTCTCCACCGCGGAGATCCACGCCGGTGAGAGCAGGGGCGGCAGCGGAGTAGCGGGGCGAGAGGTGTTGCAGCAGGGACGCAGCCGGCGGGCCCAGCGGGGTGTTGGCGCGGGCATGCGGTGTGGCGCTGGAGGCTCCGCTTGGGTGGGTGGCTCGCGTGCTGTGCCACGTGGAGCGCACCTGCCGAGCGACGTGTGGCAACAGCTGCGGGCCTGGGTCGTGGGCGGTACCTCACCTCCGCTGCATCCCCCGCTCCCCTCCCTCCTTTCCTCCACCGCAGTGCTCCAGAGCCTGGACGGCGACGGCAAGATCATGCTGGATGGGGAGGAGTTCTACATCACCCACTAGATGGGAGCCCCCTGCATGGCTGCGCCGCCGGCAGGCGGCCCTGGCCTCAGCCAGAACCCCCGCACCCCCTGTTTGGTTCTGTTTGGTTGTGTTGGCTGCGCGCAGCCCCAGCTGCTGCCCCACATTTCACCCGCTCCCCCCTGTTTTCTGTTCCCGGCCCGCGCCGCGCTGCCTCAGCGGTTGTGGCAAGGCGCCACAGGGGTCCCCACCCTGTGCCCTCTGTTCCCACTGCGCTGGCAGGCCAGGCTGTTTCTTCAGGCCTTGGCGGGTCAGCCAGCAAACTCTGTAACAAACGCAGCACACTAGTGGCAACCCTGGCTGCTTTGCTGAGCTGTTTGCATGGCGTTGGGCTGTGGCTTGCGGGTGTGGCTTCCTTTCTAGAGTTGCCCTGCAACGTGAGGATGGAGCTGAGGTGCCGCCTAGCGCGCTGGCGGCGGCGGGGCGCTCTTGTTGAAGGTGCCGCGCATCCACACCTCGCTGCAGGGGCCAGGCAGCAGCGGGGGACAGGGCGATTTGCCTCCTTCACTGGCAGGAAGCCACGTGGCCGCAGCACACAGCAGGTTGTGTTGTCACACAGCCCAGCCGGCACGCAGCACCTGTGGTGGTAGCGGCGGGGGAGGTGCGGGTGGTGCTTGCTGGGGTGGTTGTAGGATGCCACCAGCACCCCGCTGGGCTGCAGCCAGAAGGCGGGACAGGGGGCAGGGGGTTGCCCACAACATGCAAGCAAGGCAGGCTGCTCATGCGGAGGAGGCTGCAACTGTAGCCGCAAGCGGCCAGGCAGCCCGCGGCAGCCGGCCAGCGCAGGGCTCCAGCCCAGCCCGGCCTGCCTCGTAGTCATGCCCGGCATGGTCCAGGGCCTCAATCAGGTTGCGTGTCTCCTCCACCACCCGCCACTCCCGCGCGTGGTGGCCGAACATGCGCACAAACATGGTGGCGTTGGCGGGGCTGCGGTACAGCCACAGCGCCGGGTGGCTGGGCTCGGGCGGCTCCGCCTGCAGACCACTGGGGTGCTCCAGGTCAGCGGTTCCAGGTCAGCGGTTCCAGGTCAGCGGCGCCAGGTCAGCGTTGCCAGGTGAGTGGGCAGGCTGCAACAACACTTCCTTTCTACTTCCAAACACAAACATTAGGGGGGGGGGGGGGCTGCTGGAGGCTGGCTGCGGGCAGCTGCGGGCAGCTGCGGGACCGGCAGTTGGTGCAGGCGTCGCCATGTTGGTGCTGAGGGCCGCCCCACCCAGACGCTCCCCCATGCAATACCCTGCATGTAGCCAGCCCACGCCTGGGATGGGCCTGCACTCCCACCTGATACTCGTAGGGGATGAACCAGAAGACGCTGTAGGTGCGGCGCTCGCCGGTGTGCGGGTGCACATCCAGCCTGGGCGGTGCGGCAGGACACACAGCAGGGAGGACACCCTGCTTGGAGGCACTCACTCCCATGCGGCAAGCTCGACTCCCACAGCACCAGGCGCAGGCGGGCAAGCAGGCGGGTGCGCCCCTGCTGGCGCGTGTTGGCGGCCGCCTGGCGCAGCCGCTGGCAGCGCCAGCCTCGACGCCAGCCTGGGCCTCCTTGAGGCCTTGAGCCTGTTTGAGCCTCACCGGTAGTGGGTGACCAGGGGCACGGTCTCCTGTAGGCGCAGCCCCTCCTTGTTGGCTCCCCAGAAGTATTGGGACAGCAGGGGCAGGGCGGCCTTGACGGCAAGCTCGTAGCGCACACCCGACACGTTGACCGCCACCCAGGCGGCTGCAGGCAGGCAAGGGGACGTTACGCGGCACCCGGCCTTTGCGCCGCAATGTGCGAGCCGCAGTGAGGCGCTGCCAGCGGGCAGGATGGGCACCAGCGGCAGCAGCAGCAGCAGCAAGCGGAACACCATTTCTGCTGCGGCCTGGAGCCCGCTCACCTTCCCTGTACTCCCGCACTTGGAAGTCGAAGTTCTTCTGCCACACAGTGTACTCTGGGCAGTCCATGTTGCCGCAGAAGCCTGCCAAGGTGCGAGCAAAGTGCCTTGCTGTGAGTGAGAGGACAGAACAGAGCACAATCGAGCCCCGCTGCGCACCCCGGCACGCTCCTCTCGCTCACCCGGCTTGCGCCAGCTGCCGCGGCCGCTGCCGGCATCGCTGCTGCCTGCGGCGGCAGCTGTGGTCAGGGCCGTGCAGGCCAGCAGCAGGCACAGCACGGCGCTGGGGCAGTGTGCAGCGAGCATGCCGCTTGTGTTGTCCTCGGTCTGTCCTCTCGGGGGGTCTGTTGTGGCTTCACGAAAGGCTTTGGTGGCCTGCACGCTGAATTGGGAGCCCAGAATGGGCCGAGGCGGCAGATGCCGCCGTCCAAGGAGGGGCTGACGTGGCGGCGGCGGGTGGTGCAGCTCATGAGGAGGCCCATCGCGGCAGCTCGTGGTATGTGACCAAGCAGCTACACACTCATTCCTCTTGACGAACTCACCGCCGAGGCGTGTTTGGCAGAACCCCCCACAGGTGGCAACGCGGCGGCAGACCCAGCGCCCAGTCAGACCAGCAATCCAGCGACCTATCGGGCAGGCCAATCATCGATCACCAAGGGCCGCCGGCACCTTCGCCAGCTTCCCGCTAGTCTCCACCAGCGGCGGTCACCGCCACCTCCCGCCATGTGCATACCCATCTTCTTTGTGTGCGGCGAGCAGGAGAGCACCAAGGCACTGGGCCAGGCCCGCTACTGCGCAAACTGCGGCACAAAGGCAAGGCACGCAGCGGGTCGGGGCAACCAACACTGCCACCGTGACCTCTTCTACCAACCGCACCCCTCGTCACTGTCTGTGCGCTGCCCGCGTGTCCTCCGCAGGACGGCGCCCAGCTGTTTGAGACCAGCGGGCGTTTCCACTTCTGCTTCATCCCGCTGTGCAAGACGGGAGACGTGAGGAGGTACTACCGCTGCGCAACGTGCGGCGCCATGTACCCGGCCTGAAGCTGCAGCCGCAGCCGGCTCCTTAAGCGGGCTGGGTGCCACAGCAGCATGTTGTGATGTTGTTGGCCCGTTGATCCAGGAAGGAGCCGTGCGCGGCTCCGCCACGCCCTGTACACTGCTTCTGCCACCGTCCTGCTCGCTACCAGCGCCTCCCTGCTGCTCTGTGTTCGCCTCTTCCATGTCTGTGCTCGCTTCATTTCAGGCATGCGCAACTGTGCAACCAAATGAATACCGCTGAGCCTAGGCAGACAGTGCCAAAAGCATACGACAGAAGGGCAGCCTGGATTGTACCTACTGAAGTGTACTGACATACCAAGGGAGAGAGGGCAGGACAGATTGTGGCGCAGGGTGCAGGGTGGCGGGGCGCGCCTGCCCCGGGTGGAAGCCGCCGGCGCCCCCGCCTTACGCCACCCCGCCGCTGGGCACCGGCGACAGCGGCGCCAGCCCGCTGCCGCTGGCCAGCAGCGGCTGGCGCAGGGTGAAGCGCGCCGCCGCCTTGCGGGCCTCCCCCTCGTAGTCAAAGCGTGCCACCACCACGCCCATGATGGCCGCCTGCACCGAGTTGGCGGCGGCGATGCCCCACCACAGGCCCTGCACGCCCCAGCCGCGCTGGAAGGCGAGGTAGTGAGCCAGAGGGATGGCCAGCAGCCTGCAGCCACGCGGGGCGGACACAAAAGGCGAGCGCCGTTTTCATTTTGGGGCCAGGCCTGGATTTGGTGGCGTGGTGGCAGGCGGCGGCAGAGAGGTCCTCGGCAGGGCTGGGAGGAGCCGCGCCTGCCAGGCTGCGCAGTCGCCACCCAGCCCGAAACCGACGGTACACAAGCGGCGGCAGGCTCTCACCAATAGCTGATGATGTTGGTGAGGGCGCCGACCTGGCAAGGGGCACACAGCGGGGCAGGGTGGCAGGGTGACGGCATGGCTGGCGGCGTGCGTGTGCAGACACAACAGCAGGGGCTCCGCAGCCCAGCTGGCACTCTTGGGGCACCCTTGCCTGCTTCCCCAGGCAGCATCCGGCGCCCGCCGCGCTCGCACCCCGCGCAGCCCGCCCTCCTCCTGCCCACCCCGGCCCGCGCCCGCCCACCTTCTGCCTGCCCGAGGCGCGCAGCAGCGACTGGAGCGCGACGTTGATGCCGTCGCCCACCAGCGAGAAGGCAAAGATGGGCAGCAGGGCCACGGTGGCCTGCACCACCGGCTCCACATCCGTCAGCAGGCGCACCCAACGGTCCTGCACGCAGCGGGGGAAGCGGGGGGTCGTCCATTGGCGGCCGGGGGTGGGGGTCAGGGCCCGGCAAGGGGATGCCGTGGCGCAGAGCAGAGCAGGGGAGCAGAGCGGAGCAGGGCTGTCCCTGCAGTGGATGCTGGGCGGGATGTGGAGGTTGGGGCAACAGCCGGCAGCGCTCCAGCAGCCATCCCCTGTCCCCCATGCAACATCCCCCCCGCTCCTGCCCCTGGTGGTTATGCCCCACCTTGAGCAGCATGAGGGCCGAGATGGCGGCGGCCAGCGCCGCCAGCGTGAGGTTGAAACAGGTGAGGGTGGCTCGGCGCGCGCCGTTGGGGCACCCCGCGCCCAGGGCGTTGCTGATTTTGACCGAGGCCGACATGGAGAGGCCGAACAGCAGCATGTAGCTGCGGGGAGGGGCGGGGAGGGAGGAAGGACTTGTAACCCTAACCCTCAAAGGGTGGGTGGGCAGGGAGGGCGATGGGCAGGGCGAGGAGGCGAGAGGGGGTTCCCGCCGCAGCACCTCCACACAAGCACAGCTGGCTGGCTTCTCTCCCACATGCACGCATGCAGGCAGGCGCGCTGCACCTGCCTCTGCCCCTGGCCAGGCGGCACGCTGCTCCTGCCTGCGGCCCTGGCCAGGCGGCAGCCCCCCCCCCCCACACTCACACGACGCTGTTGGTCATTGAGCAGAGCCCCATGGTGGCCACAGCCAGCTGGGCGTCCGGGAACCACCCCGCCTGCAGGATCAGCGCCTCAAACGACCACCACCTGCGCGCCAAGGGGGGCAGCGGTTTGCGGAGCTCCTGAGGTGGGGCGCGGCTTGGCGGCGCGCGGCGCTCGGCGGCGGCGGCGCTTTACGAGCCCGCGCGGCGGCCGCGGCCCCGCGGAGCGTGCACCACAAGGCGAGGAAGCAGCGGGTCCTGCTGCCGCCAACCCGCCGCCGCCACCCGCGGAGCCCTGCCCCTGCCGCAGCCTCACTTGCAGCAGATCATCACAACGCTGGGGAGGGCCAGGCCCAAATACTGGCCCCACCCCCTCAGCGCCGCCAGGCTCCAGCCGTGCCAGGGAGAGTCCTCCCGCCCGCGCAGGCTGCAGGTGGCGGCAGGTGGGGGTCGCGTGTGGGTGTGGGTGTGGGTGCGTGAGTGAGCGTGCACATGCGTGGGCGGCGGTGGTGGTGGTGGCGTGTGGGGTGGGCAGGAGCGCGGTGCAGGCGGTGCCGCCGGGAGCGAAATCCGGGCCGCACGATGCGCGCACACGCACACAAACGCCGCCAGCGCACGAATGCCGCCCTCCTGGGCAGCCCTCCCGCGCTGCGACCTAAACCCTAAACCCCGGGCCTAGCCCCACCCGGCGTTGCGCAGCACCACGTAGGATCCCAGCAGCAGCGCGGAGGTCAGCTGCACGGCCAGCAGGGCCAGCGCGGCGCCGTCCAGGCCCAGGCCCAGCCGCACGATGAGCAGCCAATTGTAGAGCGGGGAGAGGGCGGCGCCGCAGGCGGTGACCACGGTGCCGGGCCGCACGATGCCCTGTGGTGGTGGTGGGGGGGGGGGAGGAGGAGGAGGGCAGGAGGGTGATGGTGGTGGAGGGAGGAGAAGGAGGAGGAGGAGGAGGAGGGGAAGGGGGCAAGGCTTGCTTGTGGCGCTGCGCTGCGGGCCACCACAGCGAGCAGCCTACCGTCGGACGCGGACAGCCGAGGGCGGCGGCGACGGCCAGCATCCACGCTGCGCCTCCCCACCCGCACCCCACTCCCCCCAAGCCCCCCACCCGCGCCCCAGCCCGCACCTGTGCCAGCAGGTAGCGGCGGCAGGCCTCCAGGATGCCGATGCAGGGCAGGCAGGGGGCCACCAGGGCCATATAGCGCGCCGCAGCAGCAGACAGCTCCGCCTCCTGGCCCAGCAGCAGGAACAGGCGCTCAGACCTGCGGGGCAGACAAGGGACAGGCACAGAGAAGGTGAGGGTGCAGAGGAACATCGGGTGACGGCAGGTGGGGCTGGCTGGCTGGCTGCCTGCCTGCCTGCCTGACGGCACTGCCAGGGGCGCTGCCCAATGCCCCCGCTGCTCCCGCCGCCGCAGCGGCAGCGCCTGCGGCATCGCTGGCGAGGCTCGGGCGCCCCTGCCCCGCCCCCCCCTTCACCCCCACCACCACGTACAAACACCAGGCAAACTCACTTGAGCCAGGCCACGGCGATGGCGGCCCCAAAGGCAAGGTTGACCAGCAGCGCCCTCTGCAGGATGCAGCCCAGCGCCCGGTAATTGCGGGCGCCAAAGGCCTGCCTGCAGTGGGGAGGCAGCGCAGGCGCAGGCGTGTGCAGGTGCGCAGGCGAAAGTGGCTCGGGGCGAGAGGGGAGGAGGAGGCGGTGCGCCGGCATGCGCTGGTGGGCTGGGGGAGGCACCGAGGGTGGCTGGAGGGTGGGGGGGGTGCGCCTGCGGCGCCGCTCACCCTGCCAGCGTGTCGATTGTTCCGCACAGTCCCATCATGATTGACTGGCCTGCAGGGAGGGCCGCTTACCGAGTTGTAGTGTTGATGGCCGGCAGTCTGCCAAACCATGGCGCCACGTGCACGCAGGCAGACCCCCCAGGCAGAGCAGGGGTGTATCTGGGTGGGCGGCAGGGGTGGATCTGGCTGGGCGCCAGGCAGGTGGCGTGGGCCTTGTCTGGTGCCAGGCCGTCCCCTGCAACCCTTGCAGCCCTGCCGAACAGTTGCCTCCCCAGCAGGCGGGCAGGGCAGGTGCAAGGGGTTCCACCTCCACCCACCAGTGACGTTGAACACAGAGGAGGCCAGCACTGCGGCCGACAGCTGCAGGCTGCCCAGCCGACCCACGAACGACACGCCCACCGCGTTGACACAGAAGCTCAGCAGGTTGGTGACCTGCGGGGAGCGGCGGGCGGGTGCTGGCCGGGCTGTGCTTGCTGGCAGGGCAAGGGGCGGGCTGGTGCACGGGCACGGCGGGCCGGCCTTGCACGTAGAGGGTGGGGCACGGCACGGGGAAGCAGGCACTGGATGGCTGCCCCCCCGGCCTGGTGGGATCCCTCTGATGCTCCTGATCACTGGTCAGGCCACCCAGGCAGGCCCAGGCAGGCGGGCTTGCTAAAAAGCTCACCGCAATGGGTATCGCCAGGGCCAGCAGCCGCGTGGCATCGCCGCGCCAGGTGGCAACGCAGGCGGGCGCCGCCTCCGCGGCCTTCACGCTCTGCGCCTCCTCCACCTCGTTGGATGCCAGGCAGTGGGCCAGGCTGAAGGTGCCTGACAGCGCAGCGGCGATCAGGGGGGCCTCGGTGGCTTCCTCCCACGCCTCATTCCACGCCGCCTTATTGGCGGGCAGCCCCGCCAGCAGTGTGCCGTCGGCGTCCACCGCGCTGATCGCCGGCGGGGCATCCTGCTCGTCGTCGGCAAAGGGAGAGGGCCTGTCGCCCCGCTCTGCGTCCTCCGTGGGATCGCCGGGCCCGGGCATGGGGTCAGTTTGGTGGACGAGCGGGAGCGCTGCTGCTGTGTGTTGCCGGAACTCGGCAGTGCACGTGATTGGGCATGCGTGATTGGGGAGAGAACAGAAGTTGCTCTTGTGCCCTCATGCTGGGCTCATGCTGTGGCGGCACCACGGGGTCCCCTACCCTAGGGGCCCAGGACTCACCCTGCGCCAGATCAGTCCGCACCACGATACATGGCGTGCACCATCCAAGTAGTGGCTTGCTACCAGAAGCAGCACAACGGTTGCTCCAGCGGTTCCGAGCCGCGTCTGCCAACGACTCGACTAATACTCGGCATCACCCTCCTCTGGTGCATCATGAATACCTTACCCATTGTACCAACATTACGCAGTGTCTCCGCCTGCAGGCATGCTGCCGATGCTGCCTTTGGAGGCCGTCATCGGGCGCTCGGCGCCCGCGCCCCAACCGACAGCGGGGCGGGTGGCTGGCTTGATCTGATGGACTGCAGTCACGGGGCTTCGAACGTGCTCCCGACAAGCTTCAGAAGCGTCTAACGACACCGACACCTGTCGTGGCCACCGCCCAAGGCCCTGAGTATCCATCCCTATCAACACCTATCGACATGCCGGCCACACAAAGCGCCGAAACCACCCACATCAACGCGCTGCCTGACCAGCTGCTGGGCCAGATCTTTGCGGCGGTAGGGCGCCCGTGGCCTGACGGGTGAGCCTGGCCACACCCCCACCCCCCCCCCGCTCCCGGCGCCACCTGGCCACACGTCCCTCCCCCGCCCTGCAGGCAGACGATTGCGCTGGTGTGCCGCCGCTGGCGCCACGCCTACTTCTCCGAGCGGGCAGTGTGGGGCAGGCTGAGCATGGATGCCGATGAGCTCGGGCGGCTGTCCGCGCCCCAGCGCCAGCGCTGGTGCGCCGCCAAGCGCGCATGGTGGCGCGCGTGCGTGGCGCGGTGACGGCCGTGGAAATCGGGGACAGGAGCCGCCTGCTGAGCCTGCTGGCTCCCAGCAACTTCAAGGCCACCGATGTGCTGGGCTGGCTGCCGCCGGAGCAGATCAGCGAGGCGACGCTCGAGCTGCAGCCAGGGCCCACCTACGCCGCCGTGGCCGCGCTGCCGCGCTTCCCGCACCTCACCTCCCTCATCCTGCTCACCACCTCCTTCTCCGCCATGCTGGCAGCCAAGCTGGCGGCGCTGACCGGCCTGCGCCTGCTGCACGTCATCAGCGACTACCTGCCGCTCGAGGCGGCGCCCGCCCTGCTGTGCCTGCGCGAGCTCGAAGAGCTGAAGCTCAGCACCTGGGAGCGCCCGCTGCCGCTGGGCTTGCCCCAGCTCACCGCCCTGCGCCGCCTGCGCCGCCTGGAGCTGGAAGACAACACCGGCGGGGTGCCTGCCCCGCCCGCGGGCACGCAAGCCGCGGGCGGCGCCGCCGTTGGCTACGGCCCTCTGCGGCAGCCGCCGCTGCCGCCCGACTGCCCCTGCCTCGAGTCTGTGACAATCACCACACCAGGCAACCCCTGCGAGGTGGGTGCCTGCTCCCCTTCCCTGCCCTGCTGCCTTTGGCCGCGGCTCCGGACAGGAAGGGTGCTGCCGCTGATGCTGGCCGCCGCCCGCCACCTCCTGCCTCCCCTGCCCCTTCCTGTTGGCGCACATCCTCGCAGTGCCGCCCCCTCTCGTCAGCCCTGCCCACCAGCAGCGCTCCATGTCACCAGGCAGGCATGTGCTTGATGTATGGCCCTGCCCCGCAGGTGGCAGGCGCATGGCTGGGCTTCCTGCATTTCCAGCTCCTGCCGCAGGCGGGCGGCGGCGCCCGGCTGGCAGGCGTCAGCCTGGACGGCGGCCACTGCCACGGCAGCCTGGCCTCCCTGCCCCACCTGCTGGCCGCGGTGGTACCTGACGGTACCCCGCTGTGCTGCCTGAGGCTGGGCCACTTCCGGCTGGATCCCGCAGGCCTGCGCGGCTGCAGCCAGCTGGCCCCCCTCACCAGCCTGACCGTCGAGGGGTGCGGCTGCGGCGGTGCCGGCGCCGGCGCCATCCTCGGCGTCGGCATCGACCTGGCGGGGCCGGCAGGCCTGGCGGCCTTGTTCCAGCAGTGGGTGGGCAGCCTGGCGCTGCAGTACGGCAGCAGCAGCGACCGGGAGAGGCTGGCGGCGGGCATGGGGGATGCGCTGGCGGCGATGCTGGAGCAGGCGCCGCAGCTGGAGGAGCTCGACCTGACTGGCAGCCTGGGCGGCGTGCTGCCGGGGTGCGTGCTGGGCGCCACCGGCCTGCGCCGCCTGGCGCTGTGCAGCAACCAGCTGTCGCAGCTGCCGGCAGGGCCGGTCCTGTCAGGTGCGGGCGGGAATGAAATGGCTGTTTTGGCTGCTTGTTTGTGAGAGGCATGGCGGGTGCGGGGGCGTCGGCGTGAGTGGTGACAGAGCTGGAGCTGCCCTGCGTCCTGCTGCCTGTCAACCCTCTCCCCAACCCAGCAGCTGGGGCATGTTCCTTACTGCAGGCCTGACTGAGCTGGACCTCACGGGAAACACCCTGACACGCCTGCCCCCAGCGCTGACCGCCGCCACAGCGCTGCGCCGCCTGCTGCTGGCGCGCAATACGAAGCTGGCGGTGACGAGCGCTGACGTGGAGCACACTCTCCAGCGCCTGCCCAGCCTGCAGTTTCTCGATGTGATGTGGACGCAGACGGCGCCAGACGTGCTGCAGCGGCTGCGCAGCAGCCTTCCGCAGCTGGAAACGAAACCAAAGCCGCCGCCACCCACACCTTAGACTCACAACAGCTGCTCAATCGACTTCAGTGCATGACACAGAGGCGTGCAAGTTTGCTTCGGTCCATCAGCTGTACCAGTCTGCTCCTGATTGTCTAATAAGCTCCGCCCTCAAAGGCACCGCCCTGGCACAGCGCCCGCGCCTCGCCGCCAGCAGGACGGCGGCAGACCTTCACGATGCAAGCGCAGCTTGCCCCGATGCGAGCTGCCTGTGACTTTGATTCTTCTTCCTCTTCTACAGGGCTCCCTCTGGGATAAGCAGGCAGCCCATCGAGATGGTGGTAGCGGAAGGCGCCCAAACAACGCACATAGACGCGCTGCCAGACCAGCTGCTGGGCCAAATCTTTGCTGTAATTGGGCGCGGCCACTTCGGGTGAGCGCGCGCAACAGACCGCCGCCTCCCGCCTCCCGCCTCCCGAGGGAGCTCCCGCCGGCCTGTGCCCACAGGTACCTCAAGCCTGCCGTGCCGCCTCCGCCACTGCAGGCAGACGATTGCGCTGGTGTGCCGCCGCTGGCGCCACGCCTACTTCTGCGCGCAGGGCGTGTGGGGCAGGCTGTGCCTGGACACAATTGAACCCATCATGCTGCAGCCAGGCGACCGATTGCGCTGGTGCGCCGCCAAGCTGCGCCTGTTGGCCCGCGTGCGCGGTGCGGTGACGGCCGTGGCCATCTGCGACCGCCGCGGGGTGCTGGCCCGCCTGGACCCCGCCAGCGGGTTGGATGCCGTGCACATGCTGGGGTGCCTGCTGCCAGAGCTGGTGACGGAAGTGGAGCTGGAGGTCCACCCTGCGCCCACCACCGCCACCATCGCCGCGCTGACGCGCTTCACCCGCCTCGCCTGCCTCGCGCTGGACGCCCCCGGGCTGCCGTTGGAGGCGGCGCCGGGGCAGGCGCTGGCAGCTGCGCTGGCCGCTGCGCCCGGCCTGCGCTCCCTGCGCCTGTCGGTGCAGCGGCTGCCGCGGGAGGCGGCGCCCGCGGCGCTGCTGCGCCTACATGAGCTGGAGCGGCTGGAGCTCTGGTCCCACGCCGCGCCGCTGCCGCCGGGCCTGGACCAGCTGGCGGCCCTGCGCCGCCTGCGCCACCTGCGCCTCGTCGACGACAGCCAGCGGCAGCCCTCGCTGCCCGGCGCCCCGCAGCAGGGCCCCGGAGCAGGCGCGCAGCATGGCGCGCCGGGCGCCGCCGCCGCCTCGGGGCACGCCCCGCTGCGGCCGCCGCTGCCGCGCGACTGCCCCTGCCTGGAATCCCTCAGCATCTGCACCAGAGACAACCTGTGTGAGGTGGGGCTGCTGCTCCCAGCCTGCCCGCCTGCCTGCCTGCCTCTCCCCGCCTGCCTGCCCCTCTGCCGTGCCCACCGGGCTCCCTGCTCAACAGGCGGGCAGGAGCCTGTGTCTGTGCAGGTGGCGGACGCGCGGCTGGGCTTCCTGTTCTGCCACCTGGTCCGCCAGCCGGGCGGTGGCGCCAGCCAGGCGGCCGTCACGCTGGATGCCCGCGCTCCCCTGGTCGGCCTCGGCTCCCTGCGCTGCCTGCTGGCTGCGCTGCTGCCCGCCGCCACCCCGCTGCTCTCCCTGCAGCTGGCTGGCTGCCGGCTGGACCCCACAGGCCTGCACGGCTGCAGCCAGCTGGCGCAACTCAGCGCCCTCACCCTCCAGCGCTGCACCGGCGGCGGCAGGGGGGAGGTGGCGGGAGCGCTGGAGGCTCTGCTGGGCCTGGCTCCACGGCTGGCAGACCTGAGCGTCAGCGACAGCCTGGCGGGCGCCGTGCCGGGCTGCCTGCTGCGCGCCACGAGCCTGCGGCGCCTGGACCTGTGCAGCAACCAGCTGTCGGAGCTGCCGGCAGGGCCGGTCTTGTCAGGTGGGAGCAGCAGCACGGCGAGTGAAGGAGTGTG